GAGAACAGCAAATGGAGAATTGTCAAATGTTGGGTGGATGTTGCGCTGCAGAAGAGGAGTGAGGAGTGTTTTGTGGGAACTTTCAAAAACAAAAAAAAGCTATAAAAATAATGCGAATATGTGTTCACAAAGCTAAAGGCAGTTGCACTTGAAGTGAATGAAGCGTTTTGCTCAGTTACGTCGCGTCGCGGCAGTAGGAACTATAAATCCACAAAAACTTGATCACTCCTTGGTTTTTCCAACCGATTTGCAGCACACAATCTATACATCACATACGACAACAACAAACTCATCCGTTAAACGTTGCGCCTTATAAGCACTTAAGTTCTCGACTGGGTCTCGTACATGCCGCGCCGCACGTCGACGACAGTTCCCCCGTAGAGAACGGCCACTGTCACCGCCACACGGCGAGTACATCGAGGGCCATCGAGGGCTCGTTGCAGAGCCTGGCTTGAATGTTGGCAACAAGCTGAAGTGAAAAAAATGAAGAGTCTCAAACGCAAATTTAAATAAAGCTTTTAGTAAATTTTATGATAACTAAGTAAATGGAAAGTAAAGAGTAAAATAAAGACTTAAATAAAATTGAGATTTTAAAAACATTTAAAATGCTTCTCTTCTTCTTCTTATTTGGCGCTCTAACCGCCCTAAGCGATTTTGGTCAAGAAGTTAGCTGTGGTCGTCATCATAAGCGGGGGTCTCATTCGAGGCTTTGTTTTGGGTTTTCATTGCTGGGACTGGGGGGGTTTCATAACTGGTGAACAGACCCTGCAGACTTCAGTGAGCCCTTAAACCGGCTAGGTCGGATTGGCCCTACCGAATCTCCCCCTCTTTCTGGCGCGACCCAAGGCTACACTCGGATTGGTTACCGCATCTCGCACATGGTTTGCTCATGGTGCCCAGAGTGCGCGAACGAGGATGTAAGAATCGGGATTGAGTATAGCTGTGAAACTGTAGCTGCATACCCAGAACAACGACTATAACCCAGCGCACTCCAACTTAAAATGCTGTGTGTAATTTTTTTTTTAAGAAATATATAGCGGACACAGAGGGAAATAATGCAAAGTACAAATTAAAACTGTATATTAAATTATCGTTTAAAAATGTTCGTGATTAAAAATAATATTTTCATAGCAAAATTTAGCACGCACGTATTTGAATGTTCACATCTGAGTATGTATATGGAAGCGTACAGGCTCTGTACTACAGAGCGGTGACAACACTCATTTATATGTATGGCTGTAGCTGAGTGCAAATTACTTCACGGATGCTTTTTCTGAATGAACACGGTCATTTTAATATGCGCGCAATTGAATTGAATATTTACCAAGATACAGTACTTTCGTTGCTATATAAGTTATTTCTGTTATACCACTAATTGTTCAGATACAAGTTTTTGCGATATTACTCCTTTATGTAGGCAGCTAAAACCATTAAATTGTGTTACGGATTTACATACCGATCACACACAGCGGGGAAAATCACTTAGATTGGTGCTTTATAAATAGGGTGACCAGATTTCTGTGGACAAATATCGGGACATTTCTAAAGCATTGAACCCGAATATACAATTTAGTTTTTATAATAAAAATACATAACATCTTTTAATGCAGCTTTATTTAAAACAAAACAAAGAAAAAAATCTATCTATGAAAATCTATCGCAGAAATTTATACACAATAAGTACGGTGCCGAGAATATAAATAGGGACGAGACATTTGTTGATCAAAATCTTAAACATTTTAATCAGACTTTTTAGAATTGTTTTTGGGTATTCAGTTTTGTAGCTCATTCAATTCAAAGTGCAAGTTAGAAGTAATTTGGACTTAGCGTTGATTTTTGGAAATTTTTTGTTCGCTCCGTTTCCTCCACAGAAGTATGTTCGATAATCTTTTTTGTATAGAGAAAATGAGCCAAAAATTGAAATTGAAGAATTGAATGGACAACAAAACTGCATACTGAGAGTGTTTCTAAGAAA